GCCTTATTCTTCTTATTCTTTGATGTGCGCAACTTGAAGTTGACGATTATGGGGCACTTGTGGACTGATACACCATGGGTAGAATTGAAGGCCTCCAACGCGTCCTCTGGGTTGGCAAAGGTGACGACCGCATGTCTGGCAAGAAAAGACACCACACAGAGAGCAACTGGTTAAATTCAGAAAATTTCCGGTCCAGCGTAATAAACGCCACAGACTGGAGAGCATATAATTGCGTATAAAGAGCAAAGAGACCCCACACACGCATACAAAGCGATAGAAAAAGACCCCTCATCCCTAGCGCAGCTGGCCCCTTCCATCCAGTTCTTTCCCGTTCGTACAAAGGCGACGATGGACCGTCATAGAAGGGTCGGTTGGATGAACCTCGGAATTAGATCCGACTACATTGGTGAAGGGTCCCTGGATCGAGAGCTGTGCCACTTGGCCGCCAGGATCCATATTCTGTCGGCCATAACGTGGTCAGCTTCAGTTCGTGTGAAGACTGCGAAATGACCAGAACTCATCCAGTAGGTTAGGTAGGGGTTTCAGGCTCAGTCTTAGTGGGTCGCCTCTCGGAGTTACTTAGCTCGGTGGAAAGGAAATATGGGGACTGGCACTCTGGTGGCCGCTACCTATAGGTAGATTGAAAACAACTAAATAGCAAACAGAAAGGTCGCCCGTCCTCTCGACCGCCACATAAGTCCGATCACATCGAGCGGCTGCTAATTCACTGAAAGGAGGAGTATTTTTACTCTAAAAGAATACCTACTTAAATGATATAGGTAAATGGTATTTGTCAATATAAATTTAGCGTGCAGTTGAGTCTGACACCCGAGGGCCCCATTACCGGCGCCTTCAGTAGACACGCGCTTCTTTCCTGACTTGTATAAACAAGCTGCCGCGCTTGAAGCTATCACGGTGCCCTAAAAGCCTTGGCTTGGAAGGTTGCCAACTGAAGGGATAACTGGGATCGTGAGGTCAACCCAGTTTGCATTGCGCTGTGGGGTGGCAGACTGAGTCAGGCTGCAATGGCTCCCTCCTAATCTGGCCTTTATGGCACCCCAATTCAGGCGGGACCTAAGTCATCCTGCCCCCAAGCTTTACTGTGGTATTCTGGTTATTAAGTGATACAGTGTGTGGGCCTGCGCCCTCTTTCATCGCCAGTCTTCTGGACTTTGTCTTGACACCGGACCCGAGTGTGGGAGTGGGGAGAGAGGGAGGTAGATGCAGCGAAAGTCTACTCTCACTTTAATCTAGCTTAAGTCACCGTCCCTGTACCACCCTCTGGAGGAGCACCTGGGTGGACCTCCTTGAAATCGATGGCCAAACTTACATCGCCAACCCCCTCTCCCTCCCCGTGGTCAACTGGTTAAACGGTACAAACGTCAAGGGACATTTGAAAAGAAGAACCTACCCAAGACACTTGTTGGGCCCCTCAGAAGTTAGGTCGATCTTCTGAGCCTTTGGAAAGAGTGGTGACAAGTCCGCCAAAATGGTTTGTTTCGGCAAACAGGACACATGCAGAGTCGTCAGATTAAAGTTACTGAGAGTGCGGCTTTGAGGCGGGCACCAGCCTTTGGCTCCTGCAG